TCCTTTAGTATCAGCTGTCATGTTGAAGGTGCTACGAAGAATGATCGAAAATCTGATGCTAGTACACTTAGAAGAATAGCTGTTTGTGCAGCGAATAAGATCTTGTTCGGTTATTTAGTGATCAAAGAAAAATAGGGAGTAGGTCTCGGAAGCATTGCTTAAGAATCTAAAGTGGACAGAAAAATAAGGCAACTGATCACATTATAAATGCTATGCGTTAATTACTAGAAAACGTTAGCGGTTACCTGAGCAAGTAAATCACATTTTACAGTGCGATTAACAAACGTTTACTCCAACATGGGTGTCTTTTCACTCGATCTTGGATGGAATAATTTCTCAGCTTAGTCAAGAGGTTAAGCTAAACCTGCAACTCTGATTTCTTTTTTATTTCAATATCATAGATCGAGACAACATTGATATTTCAACATTACTCTCATATGATCGTCGAAGATTAGCAATGTGAAATATAACAAACAAATGAAATCAAAATGAAAAATTTTCATATAATTTACACATTAGTTGCTATTCGATGGGAAATTATATGCCTTTTGCATTCCTAATTTCTTTATCATCTGTGTTTCTTGATATCAATCTATAAACATGAAATATTGAATTAAGACATTTGCACCTACAAAAACGAATAAATACGCGTAGAAGATTTCATCAAATGAGTAGGTACACCTGTTAACAACTACTGGCATATACTGTCGGTATCCCATGTTTGAAATCAAAGATGAGGATCGCCTACCATAGAATATTTTTCTAAAAAGTTTACACTGATAACAACAAAAACAATATCAGAGAGAGCAACAGTTATAAGAAAATATACAAAATTATCATGAACATGCAAACAACTTGATAAAGACGATTCCAACAATATTCAATGCATAACCAAAACGTTTATTTCTCTCATGTAGAGAGCTGCCGGTTAACGTTGTTGTCGACCAGAGCCTAAAAAACAATGAAAATTTTAACCTCGAACTGATCGCATCCACGTCTGGAAGAACATAAAGCTCTCGTATGGCATAATAAAACCTGCGGTAGCATGTCGGAAAAATATCACGAATTTTTTCTGTCATTTGAAGTATTTTCGCATAATATCTCTAGTTCTTACGAGAAACACGTCTTCATATAAACAATAAGGAGTTGCTCCACGCTTATTTGATCAGAAAGGGAGAAACTGGATAATATTATGTGACTGTGATTAACAAAATAGCATGTCTTATAGCGCAATCGTTGATCAGACAATTTTTGAAAATTTTCTAAGGCAACTAAAACAGAGACAAAATTATTCATTAATAAAGTAAAAAGTTCATACAATAGCACTGCCACATGTAGAATTTTCACCAATAACAAGCGTAACAAGATCGCAAGCAAAGCAAACAACATTTAAACTAATGCAAAAAAGCGATGTAGAATTATAGGAGATTAAATCTTGTAAGCATCATTTATCTTATGAAAGACTTATCAGTCGACTGTTCGCGTCGTTATGAAAATTCGCATGCACTGATTTCATAATCGCTTAGTCTATCGATTAAATATTTAATCCAAGTAATATTTTACCAAAACAAAAGAAAAGAAGGAAGTATTTATTGTCAAAAACACTACACCGTATGTAAAAATATTCATTTAAGTCAATAAAAAAACAGAAATCTTAATTTCAATAATTCTCAAAGATTTACTTTCTTTATATAATTCCTTTTTAATACGAATATAAATTTTAAAAACGTCTTGAACTGTGTTGGCCAAAACAATCTCACTAACGTTTTTACGGTTCTTTTCCTGTCGTAGAATATTAGTGTTTCAATTATAGGACTCAAGGCTATAGCAGAATCATTGTTTTTCCTTGAAGAAATAAAAAGTTGCATGCATCTTGAAGTCTCATAAACACTTTTAACGTTTCGAGGTTCTTTATTTTTCTTTACTCAAGATCTGCTTTTTTCAACTAGAGCGTAGATTCTCTAGGTTACATCTTCGTTTCTTAAAATAATGCGAGAATATAATGATGTTTAATAGTAGGTTGAATAGGAAAGAACACGATAAAGATACATATGACTCCATGAAATATAGAAGTAGAAACGGTTCCAAAAATACCATTATTAAACTAAACTAATGTCGCTTTAGGACACATCAATGTAAGTAATTATATTTACAAAAACGAATACGAAGAAAGAGAAACGATTTCGTTAACTTAATTAATTTCAAATTATTATTAAGATTTAGCATAGCTTCCCAAATATGTTAGCTTTTTTGTTATTTCATTGAAGTCAGTATGAGATGTCTCGAGTTTAAGTAACTCTGTCAAAGTCTACTGTTATTTCCTTCCCAGAACTATTGACCTTATACTCGGATCTTACTGAATTTTGTACAACCTCATCGAAATCTGACAAACTCTAGAATGCTGTCGTCGGAATACCGACAATGACATTGTTCACAGACCCATAAAGTCAGATATAGCCGAAAGCTGTAAGAAATCAGACACATTTTATCTGTGAGCTAGTCGAATATAACAAAATCTAATTGAATTGATTCACTCGGATTCGTTCCTTTTTCTTACGAAATGGAGATATGAAGAACAAACGAACTGAAAGATCGATCATTCTATTGTGTATGGTTCGAAATACTATCAATATTAGAAGTGTACATGTACATCATAATCATTATATTCTGGCATCTATGTGAAATTTTAAGTTTAGTTTTGCACGTTGTACTTGGTGAAAATGTTAAACATAAAAGACCTCTCAAAATTTTATCATGTGAAAAGAACTATCCAGCATGGTTTTAAGAAATAATCGAAAAACAAAATCTACGCGCAAAACTCATACGTCTTCTAATGATGCATATTAGAATTAAATGGGAGACACGAAATTTTATTTCTTATATAATGAAAGTTTTTGAATATTTTCTGCTGTTCCAGCAAAATTTGGGAAGCGGTATCACAACCATATCTCAAATCAAGAAAAATTATTAATAGTTCTTGACCTTTGCTTATTGGTTGCAAGATAATAAACTTGCTCATAAAGACAGAAATAGTTATATAATATATTCAAATATGATACTCATGCATACAAATACGATATAAAGTGTAAAAAGAATTAAGAATTAAGAATTAGAATACAGGACTAAAATCTATGACAGAAAAGCTTCTACTATTTTACGATATTGTACATGATTTCAAACTACTTTACCTACTTTTTACTGTAATTTTTTGTGCCACCCATCGCTTTTCGGAAACCAACCACCTAAGACATAGGATATTTATATTCAGAGATAAATTACTAAGATCACTATGAATTGGACTCTGTTATTTTCATTTTAACGACAGCTCAATTTATTCTCAACTTGAACAAGAAAATCGAATTTCTTTACTGGCCTCTCATACAAGTGAATCCAAGTTATAAAGACCAAAAGAATACTTACTCAACAAACATTTGATGTATTGACGCCCAGTGCGTCTCGTAGTTATTGGACGTGAATCACTTGTACGTGTAGCAGTTGACGTGGCGGCTCCTGTTGTATTCGAATTTGGTTCTGAAAGAAATACACACAAAATAATGGAAATTGAAGTATTGAAATGTAATTTTTATTAGTAAAAATAGCAACTCATATTTCATACAGAAAGATTCGTTTTAAGCAACAAATTCATTTCTTTTTCAAGCGCCTTATGAACCATTTCGAATTTCAAAATTATCTCCGCTCAAATAGTTCAGAACCATTGCTTTCTTTTAACAAGCTATTATGGGATGTATGTGTTTCCAAGTTTTTTTTGCTTAAAAACGTTGCTAGATCTGTAAGATTTATTAATGAAGGAGTTAAAATAATCATAAATGAGCATTGTTTCGATGTGATTAAAAGTAATTATCTTCAACAGCAGGATTTCTTGACTGATAACGAAACGGACTCTGTTGAAATTAGTGTCAAAGCATTCAAACTTCGAATAAGCACCTAGAGCCATTGCCATTATAATCATCAACGTGGTATGAAACGAAAATGTCTTCAATAAAATTATTCGAAGGAAACATTTCATTTTGAAATGCAAATTCAAGCCTTTTGCTCCTTAAATTTCTTTTCAAAAACTTTATTATTTACCGTTTAAACTGTCTTAGCAATCATAACGATGTCACGCATTGATCGTTTATTGACTTTACTCTTTTCTCTTTAGCATTAATCCGACTTTTGTTTTCATTTGCTGACATAAATCGAACATTAGGCTAACTGTGAATATATTCATAAATAATGGTCGTGTTTTTCTAAGTTCAATGCTGTAAAATAAAATGACTTCTTCTTTATCAAAATCATGTATTCGGATAATTTTACTGCGCAACAAATTCAAAGCAGATTATAGAGGATAAGCAAAAATAGTTAGATCGTCTTTCCCATTTTAATCCTACATGGATTGTGCTAACAGTTTTCCTGTATATATGTTTCATAAAGTCTGCGTGTTTAATATGTAATGAAATGATATTTCAATCTTATATTTAGCTTAACTGTGTAGTTTTACGTAAAAACGCATATTCTCATGTAAGTTTTGATTAAAGTAATAAAAGAAATGAAAATTAAATATCGACTTTTGCGAAAATGAACTTTATCTCGTGTAGAACAAACTCAATCTCGAAAGTTTTGGTTGCCTTTTGATATCTAATATTAGTAGTTTTGAAAACAAACATAAAAATCTGTATGTATTTGGAATAAAATTTCGCCTGTAGCATCAATTTTATCACCTGAAAAGATTTTGAGACCGAGCAGATCGGACCATTTTGAAATTTCTTCACTGGTTCCAACTCTCGATGATCTTATATATCGCACTGGCAGAGAACTATGCCTAAGGTATATTAATAACGCTTTCGATATTTTTCTTTAGACATCATTTACCTTCGGCTTTTTTTTAATCTCATATATATCCCTGAAACACATTCGTTCTAGTTGTAAATTATCTGATTAAACTCTCATGCATGTGAGACTCGAATTGTTATTGCAACTATTGAAATATTCAAATAGTCGCGAAAGACAGACATACATGACAACAAACACTAAACATGGCACGTAGTGAGTGCCGCGAAGAATACTCGAGTAGTTGTAACGAATTAAAGAGTTCTACACTACTGTAAAATCTAGATTGATTCTACGCTTTTTGTTCAATGTTTAATTTTCAAAAAGTAGCAACGGAAACTCATTTTTAAATTGAAATCTTTTACAAGTAAAAACTTCATAGTAGAAAGTATCACTGAGAATGTTGTTTCAAAACATGAAACACAAAAAGCAAGTTCTATTTTAATGATTTAGATAGGAAATATCAGTCGAATAAACTTAAAGACCTCGAACGACCAAAGACTTTCGAAGAAAATATAAAAAGAATTGGTTTTTGTGTTACATAGTTTAATATTGTCATATTTTATTTATTTTAAAGATTACAATTGTATTAACCTTTCTAGAAGTATATCTTTACATTTAATGAAAAGAGTAGAGGTTATATTCTATTTGTCAATACGATACGTTTTCGACGACAAACTTTAAAGAAAGATGTTTCATTAGATTTTTTACAGCTAACAAACCAGGTCTGTGCGATTCAAGTCATTTGTCTAACGAAATCAAGTTCTATTTTTGCCTTTTTTCGCGTTCTATCTAATTTTATTAAAAGTGCCAACGAAAATTTTTTTATTACGTAATATCTAGTTTCTAGCTTATGTAAAAGAACAAAACTAAGATAAGTCGCAAATAAAACAACGGGACAACTATTTTAGATTATTCAACAGAATGATAACAGTGGAATCAACTCTACTCTTGTTTACATTTACATACTAAAGTGCAAAAAATATCTTGTTTTTAATAAACACAGACCGAAATTGAAAACTGTTTATAAGCAGAAATTTTTCAACCCAAGTTGACTTAATATCTTATTAAATTTAAAAGATATAAAAATGTCCATATCTGCTTCTCTAAATCTTAAAAGACATATTATTATTAAAAGGTCGCTTTGAAAGAACGCATGTTTAACTGTTGCGACAGTAACAGGAACAATTGTTTTCTTTTCCAGAAAGCCTATTAAAAATTCTGCCAGTCTAGTGTGCTTGAAAATAAGATTATTATTTACATTTTCTTGGATATGGACGTGAATAAAAGAAAGGTCTCATATGTTTTGTTCATAAATAAATTATACGAAATGAATAATGCAAATATAACATGATAGAGAATATCAATTGTGATGCGATACATAGCTTTCATTTAGTTTTATATACAAACGTACGCCATTCAAAGAGGAGCCCAACTAAGACGACGAAGAAAATAAACATTAAGTAATACTCGTAGATAATTAATTAATTATGCCCATTTCAATACATATAGCAGAAAAGCTCACAAAAAATTGCTTTGATGAATATATTCAATTAGGACAGCAACAATGAATAAGGGAGAATTCAATTGATGAATTATAATGTTTTCAATAAGAGCAAATGACATATTTGTATGGACAACTCAACGTTACTCTGTGCTCGAGGTCCAATTATAACTTGGACTCGCTCAGTCATGTAACAACGACACTTACCAAAGGTACGGTGTACCACATAGACACGATTCAACAAGAAATTCCGTTCACCTATTACCAATTTTCTGTTATTGACTTGAAGCCTACAATGAATTGATAAAAAAATGAGATAATGAATTAAGTAATTAGTACTGCAGAATGAAAATAGGATATTATCTTGAATATATATTACTGCTTATGTGTAAATTACTGATCAGGTTTAAGTCTTTTTCGTAAAAAATGACTTTTCTGTTTGAATTAGTAAGCACCTCGATTTTGTACTCTGAATATCACAAGTCAAATGTTACTTTTAACTCGGTACTGAAAAAACGAATAATAAAATGATGAAAAGAATTTAGTCAGACAGTTTTGAATTTCAACGAAACTAACAAAAGATTTGAAAAAATCGATCGAATCTATAGTCACAGCAAAATAAATGGTTAGCATTTCTTGAATAATTTTTAGTATTGATCAGATAGAAAAAGGAATGCAGTTGAACTGCTAGCATAAAAAAATGCTTACCCCTGCCAGCGTCCCGATAGATCATTTTTGAATTTTAAACCGCTAACATTTGGAAAATATGAATTAAGTAAATCGATGGAGATTGAAAACTCATCATCGAGAGGTAAATCCATTTCCGAGCCTATTATTGATTCTTCTTTAACAGTAATATACCTAAACGCACAATAATATTTAAAAAAGAGAGAAGCAATTTGTACGATACAAAAGTATCGATAAAATAAATTACCTTTCCATAATATGTGTTGTAGCACAACCTAAAAAGAAAACTATCAAGAATTATTTATCGATAAAATACTTCAATGTATATAGTAACCTTTATTCAGCAAATTTCAAAAATGGGACGAATCTCAGAGTTCATTTATTATTATTATTAACGTAAGACCAAAGATAATCGAATCTTAGATAGTTAAGTCGTTATAGCAATGCAACAGAGTATATCTGAAATTTATCAACCTCACGAATGTGAATCTTTCAATTATTCTATTGATCAGTAACAAAAGTCGGCGCAATCGTTTGGTCGCCATTGCCACTTTACTGTGACCACGATTAGTTTCACATGCTTTCCGAATGAAAATTCGAAATATAGTGAGATCTCGCACTCTATTTCAGCAGACGAAATGATATGTTAATGCACTCCGTTTCAAGAATCAAAGCGCAGCAAAGTGTAAATATATAAATGTATCTAGAAAAAAGCAATAGTATAGTTTATATTTCATACTATAGACTTCTATGTGCATGTATGCATATGAATAATAATCAAAAATAATGTGTCAATCTTGATTAAACCACAAGATTAACAAAAAAAACTCAATCAACAACGAGGATAAATTTAAACATAAAACAAAGTGAAAATTTCTAAAATAGAGTGCAAATCAAAAAAAGTGCGTGAAGCACTCACTGTGATTTTGCTTGGTGCACTCATCATTCGGAACGCTTAGTGAGCGGACAGAGCAAAAAAAGAATACGTTGTAAGCAAATCAATATAAAATGCACTACCTATGGCGTCCTCTAAAATCGACTAAAAAGGCCGAACTTTTAAAGTACCTTAATCGATAGAGAAAATTATGCTGAGTCGAACTGTGATATTATTTTTCATTTAAAAACTGGCAGCGATAATGCAATACGAAGTGTATTAGTGTGTTCGAAATTTGCTATTGATTCGATGATTCATCCTTATTTGTCCACTGACTATATGTAATACAACGCATTGTTTTCGGTTACTGACGGCAAAAATAATCGACGGACTAAACAATTCTATTGTATTCAGTAACCGTGAATGGATGTAGTCACGTGCGAATTATACAACAACTAATTTGCACGTTACTTTCATTTTTGACTTTTCAGCCTTGCCTAACTACGGCCGCTCGACCGTGCCATCCTCTTTGATTCCGTTCACAAAATATCTTTTCTTTTTTGTTTTTGTAGATAAAAAAGACTACACAACTATGGATACAACCGATGGTCACACAGAAACTCTACCGATGTTGGAAGAAAAACAATTTGTCAAGGAAGAAAAAACAAAACAAGTAATCGACGGAACAGAATTTCCAGATGAACTCGAAAAAATTGAACGTGAAACTGAACAAATAAAACGAATGGCAAAAGCAGAATGTTACCGTAAAACCGAATTAAACGGGCGTAACATAGTAATCCAAAGAACAAAAGAAAAGAAAGTAGAACTCGAATGTACTTCATCCAAAACTAATCATTGGTTTTTTCTCAAATTATCTTTGGATTACCCTTGGGATATCAATCTACCTGGTGATTTGCAATCGTTTGATATCAATTGTTTATTAAAATATAACAATTATTTTAATGATAATATATTAAATTATGTTGAACATTTCTTAAATCAATTTTCATTACATTCGAAGTTAGAAGGATATGAAATTCAACAAGTAATATTTGACGATTTAATGGTTAACATATTAAATACATTTAATAATGCTACATCATTGAAATATTTATGTACTTATTCAGGCTATCTAGGATCTGATTATCATACTGATTGTGCATTTATATATAAAAAGATAAATATCGACATTCATAATGAATATGGAGTTTTGAAAGATTTCGTTGTTTGTGTTGGCAATTTACAGTCTCCAAATGAATCTTTATCAGAAACATCAATCATTGAAGAAATGTTAAGAAATATGAGAGCTATATTATCAGTGCAACGTCGTAAAAAGATATATGGTTTTCTATGTAATTATTTACATATAAAATTTTTTTACATTGAAACGGACTTGGATTTAAATTCATATGGACTTTTTCAAAGCCAAGAATTAGAAATGTTTAGTTATTCGTCTGAAACATTATCGGCTACTGATAAATCAAGAAAATTATGTGTTAATAAAGATACGTGGGCAATATTTACAAAATTCTTAACAATGAATAGTGAATTTTATGAATATACAAGATTGAATATAGATCCTCATGATGATTTGCTCGCTGATCAATATCACATTATAAAAGAGTTAGGAAATGGTTTAACATCAATGATTTATTTATTAGAAGAAAATAAAAATGAATATTCAGCTGAAGATTCACCAAATCATGTAATGAGAATATTAAAAGAAAGTGAAGATTCATATTTATTTTCAAACGAAATAAAAATAATAGAACATTTAAAACAATTTAATGATTCAAGCAAATTTCAATTATTTTTTCAAGATATTCTACGTCCATCATGTCTAGGTAACATTTTTTCAATAGATTCAAAGAATATCGACCAAAATAAGAAAGCAAAACAATTTTTCAAATAATGAAGAAAATTCTTGACGCAGAAGACTTTAAAATGAGAGAGTGACACTGTCGAATTCGTAATTCTGCAATATAATTTGACTGAATGATATGACTTAGAGAAAATTATCTTTCATAATAGATGAATGACTAGTAGATTTGTTCTTAGAAAAAAATACTTCGAATGAAATAACTATTTTCTCCTCTTGATAACACATTAAATGAGTAGGAAGAAAAATAACGGTAAAGTTCCATCGATTGAAGATCAAAGTTTTTTTTTAATATTTTTAATAGATTATAAAACAAGAGAAATATAAGATCTAAAAGTATAGGGCTATATTTGAAGCTCTAATTTTAACACAAAGTGAGGTTCTTGCTTAGAAGAAAACGCATACACCGAAACGAAATCTTAAACAAAACGAATGATGATTAATAAAATGTTTTGTTAAAGAAAACTAGAGCAAAATAAAAATAGTAAGTTTTCAAATTCAATGATTAACGAAAAAGGAAAACTTTTGTTCTCTGCATCAGACAAAAGCGCGATAAAGCATGTCATTACTACCGAAGAACAAAAACTAGTAGGAATTAGTACTCCAACGTCAATTTTGAAAGAAAATAAAGCTATTTTTGTGTTTGAACGCGTTGTGTCTTTTGTATTGTAACACGTTCAGGTGCATCAGTATTTATCTACAATGCGTTTAATAGTATCGCTTTTATCTGCTGTGCGTTGTTTTTAATTTAAAACATCATCGAATTACTGTTTAAACACGTTCATAAGCAATAAGTCTTTTGTTCCCAGGTAAGTGTTTTGAGTGAAAATGCAGTTGTATGAGGTGAACTCTGCTAACGCTTAGGTAAACATTTCGAAGTATCAGATTCAAAATTATACTGCTTAAATAGATCCCATTGCAAAGATTAATTTTAATATTGTGAACGATAGAAATTGTTGTATAACAAAAAGAGCAAATACAGACGAATTGGAAAGAATTTAACACAATTGAAAAGAATCTTATGGTTTATGTTCAAAAGGTGTAGATAAATTGATATATAGATAACGACTCATTCATTTTTAATAAAAGTTCTAATCATCCTTGATTAGCGTGCTATTGTTTTGAGAGACCTAATTCATTCAAAGAAACTAGATTGGAAAAGAATGAAATAGTTCATATTGCTTTCACACAGTATTCAACTGAACTTTTTCATGTATTTGTTTTTTGAAGGCGTTCATCAATGTTTATTTTTCTCTGCATAGAATCCTTTAACAATCAAACGGATTCATTATTAAAAGCATAAATGCATAGTATGTTTGTTAGGTAAACTCTTTGAAAATATATTTGCGTTTTTCTACTTATTAATTAAAGATCTTTTTGAATAGATTTTTGAGAAAACATCCGAAAAAACACTGGCATCTTCACAGAATAGTAGTTCATAAAACTGAAAGTTTATTTCTGTACTTAAAACAACATGTTCTATAATATTAAAATAGATCAGTGAACATAATTCTAATATATTTTACTTTGTGTTTTCTTCAAGGACGAAAAATCTGATTTCAGCTGTTTTCCTCTTGGTTTTTGTGTCTTTTAGCCAAGTCATTTTTATTTAAAAACTTAAAATATTCTTGAACTACTGCAGAATTTTGACTACTTATCAATTTTCGAATTTGCGTTGTTTTTCTATGAAAATCCAAATTTCAAGGACATTAAAGAATGGGCCAACAAATCTTATAACAGATAAGACAACAATCAAGTCATATGCAGATTATTAGGGGAAAAATACATGCAAATAAGAAAACATCTTCAGAGAAAATACATTCACTTCAATCGAACTACGTAAAAATCTGCAAGATTTCGTTTAGCATTCAAGAGACTATTGATTAGGCGATGAAGAGGAGGCAAGGATGAGAGATCGAAGTTGATAAGAGTACCGGATTTCTTCACGTACTCCATAATGTTCAATAACTTCGTTTTATTTTTTCGCCTATAATAGGAAAATTTTCAAAATCCATACTGAAACATAATTTTCATCACACGAAAAATTGACAAGATTTGTTTGCGTTTTTGATGGTCTCTCTCAAACTCTACATTTATAATATTATCCACTATTACAGAAAAAACTAAAGATTTAAAAATTATTCTTTGATAAACGAGATGGAAAATACATAGCTTATTTTTTTAAAGTTATGGTTACTGGAAAAAAAATTCGTTTTCAGTGAACTAAGAACGTAGATGAGTTGTGAAGAAAAGAGAAAAAGACGTCTTAGAATAATTTTCACGGCTTCAACTTCCGTTCGAATCTAAGATTGTGACTGACTGAACAGCTCTCTATGCTATTAGTGCATAGTTTAGATGAAATAACAAGTAAAAAGAAGATTTTACGTACACAACTCAATCACCATTGTACGTATCTCTAATTCAATATGAATTGACAATGAAAAGAATTTGACATTCGAAATCTCGCTGTATCGATGACTAAAATAATGTTTAATATTCTTTCTAATTTTCTTATTTTTATATTCAGATAAATATCTGTTGTATGAAAAAGAATTGCAACGTATAGAGACATTATCATTAATGCATTCGAAACAACTAATTGATATCATGAAATATTTATATGATTGTCATATTATTCATCGTCATGTACGCCCAGAAAATTTAATGTTAGATAAAGATACTAGTCATATAAAATTAATCGATTTCACTTTTGCCATTACATATGATGTGGATGGCAAGGCAGGCAGCATAGGCGTAACAGATACAATTGCATATGCTGGTCATGAATTTTTAGAATATTATTCACAATTATTATTTGGATCACGTTTACCAAATTATCGTTATGAACGAACATTTGATTTAAAATGTGCATTGAATGTTATAATGGCTTTGAATGATGTTCTTATTCTAGCAAAGATTTACAAAATTGAAACATCAATCGATATTCACCAGATCACGTTAGAAGCATTACATTTTTGGCTAGATCTTCGACGGGCAAATAAAGATTATTCAAATCTAGTCAATTTAATAAGCAACTTACATGAATCATCAACTTTTGATGTTTTAAAAACAGAAATAGAAAAAGTTTTCAATTGCTGAACAATTCTACTCATGCCTTGTATTCATTATATGTTCATTTAAAACGTGCAGATAACTCTTCTCATTTATTTTTTTTTATCATTTGTTTGTTACCGTCACTCTTTGTCCATATATAAACAAGCATATTCATAGAGAAAAAGACCATTCTTTTATTTATTAAGGTCATTTTTCTTTATTTTCTAATCTGAGGTAAAAAATCATAATGACGTGTTCGCGCATCAATAATATGTTGCGCTCGATACACTGACATAGTCCATACCACTATCATCCTAGAAAATGTTTTCAACTAATGAAATCATATTCTTTTTATCGGAAATTATTGAAGGCAAACTTCATTTGATGATTTCTCTTAATCAATCAAAGATGTTGCCATTGTATAACGAAAACATCTAAATTCAAAATTATCATTTTTTAAGATAAAACGATTCTTCATACTTTGATAAAGATTATGCGAATTAAAATTGTCATTAAAAAAACGTACAGAAGCTTTTTTTTCTCATTGAATTTATACTAATTTTAATCTCAAGCATCATATAGAATTTCATTTTCAACGAACGATTTTGTTAACAGAAAAGGAATAGGTGTTGAAGTATAGAATAATTTTTGCAATACTCTATTTGATGAAAAAAAAACGAATAGCATAATTTTTCAAAGATGACAATTGATAAGTCTATGCTGAGTTCTTTTTGTTTAATTAAAATACTTTTATTATAAAAAGTCGTTTAATACCATGTGGAAAAAACAAATTATGTAGCAAGTACTGCACAATTTATTGGCAGAGCAAGACGAGAGAGAGAGAAATGTGAAGCGCGAGTGTGGGTGTCAGTCTTGTAACTCACCCACACCCTCAAGGTAGTAAACGACACTAACATCGAAAGCAAAAAATAAGTGTACGAATTTCGTAGTAAAAAATGACAAGCATATTTGTTAGATTGACATTTGGTCATGGTTGTTTTAGCAGAGTTACGAGCTAGCACTTCGTGTTATTATTCTAGAAAGACGACTAGCCGTTGAAACCAATGCCTTGCGAAATGTGGATGATGCTAATGTATATATGGCAAATGTGAATTGAAAATAGAGTGCAATAAAAGAAGTTTCTATTTTAGCTTAGCCTAACGACAACGACACATATTAAGATGTGAGTGTGCCTTTCCGAAGTTGTAACCGGTAACGATAAATAATCGATCTAATGTCACTTACGACGAATTACCAGTTGATGAGAAATGCCTTTTTCTTGAAAAATTAATGAATTTGGGATTTTTATACTTTGCGTGTGGGTGTGGTTGTTATTATTTACATTGACATCCACACCCACACCCATTTTAATCAGAGTAGTGATAAAAACAAGAGTACGATTCAGCGAAAAGAGCGTACTTAACAGCAGCCATGCCAATAAACAAGACAATGATGTCAATACCAATGAGTCTATAAAAATATGAACCACTAAGCATTCTTCAATAGAAGTCTAAATCATGTCTTCTTAGAAGTGAACATTCAAAATCATTGACAGATTCATAATGAGAATGTGTTTTTCAATATGATTTGTGAAAGATTTTTAGCGAATTGAAAGATTTTGATTAGAAAAGTTTTGTAGCTACAAAGAAAATGATGTCAAAAAAAGGTTTCGTATTTTTTAACTATTTCGATAATTAAAATCATTTTGACTTGTTTTTTTTGCCTTTCAAACAGGTATTTTTCCCCATATCTTCGTTCGACGAAAATAGTTGATATGTAGAAAGGAAGATTTCAATGAACTCATTTATCAGATTAGACAACATCGGATAGTAACGGTGAATCGATAATGATATTACAAGAATAGAAAACATGTCTTTAGATACCTTATCAATGGTTCGCATTAGTCTCCAGAAATGACATTAATTAGAACGAATCTTGTTCTAAACACTAGTATAAGACCATTTACGCATGTTGCTAATACTTATCGCCATCTATCTGACATAATTTATTCTATGTGGGTTTTTTTTACTCGAAATCCTTGAAATAAGTTATGACATAGATTATTAAAAAAATGTATCGCCATGTAAACCAGTTCAAGGATTCAACAGTTGATAAAATAATTTAATTTATTAATAGAGATGAATGATATACGATGGCGTATAAAATGACTTCTAAGCGTCGCATCTTTTCTGAAAAATCATATTATCTTTCCATAAATATTCTTATAAGTGATGAAATTTTCCATATAGATTTTTCAGGTGTCAAGCAGTTGATTTTACTTTTATAATTAATTGGCCTTCTCATCCTTTTCAATTAATCACCTATGGAAAATCTTGTTTAAGATCTGTCTTGAATGCTAAGTTCTGAAACGTTTTTCTGACATATGTAATCTTGTCTTGTTTTTCACATGGATGATGAATGGCTACTTCTCATTTGCGAACATGGTTGAAATTATAATTAAAAAGTTTTATAAAGTTGCTATTTTAAATTTATTTTAGATTTTTCATGTCTTGAAGCTTTTAAAAATTAATATTTTTCTCGAACTAAATTTAAACATTCATTCATCAGTTAAAACATTTAAAAATTAGGAGATCGAAGCTTAATTTGAATTTTTATCATTTTATGTAAATGTTTGTAATTTATAGAGGACGTAAGATTTCTATAAAACAAAATTTTAGAATGAGCAAAAGTTACAGTTATTTGGAGAGCATGTGAGATATCTATAGAAAAATTGTTTAAACTGATAAAAAGCTTTTATAATCTTCACATTACGTGAAATTGTGGAATAGAAGAGCTTATAATTGTGAAAGAGTTTTGTAATTTGTAGAGTGTGCTAAACGATGATTAATTTTGTAATCTTGTTATTCGATCCAAACTGTAACTTACGGAGGGCAAACATTTTTTCTTCATTGAGTATTTCGAATATCTAATCCTTTTGTGCGGTAGAAAGTCTCGGAATTTAAAACTTTGAAAGTCGGTTCGACTTGAATAAATGAATTACGCAGAATAGATCGAAAACAAAAAACATTAATACATTCATATTGACAATTAAGATCTTGTACGAACTAATATTCTTGTTTTTTTGTTTCTTATTTTTCTTTCTAAAACGTAACGCTGAATATTTTGTTAAATTTATTATTCTATCAATTTGGGGTGAGTGAGATTTTAACTATATCATATTGTTATGCGCCTATAATTTTAATAACATAAAATGATATCATTGAATCATTTCGAGCCCGAATAGTAAAAATAAAAGCCGTAGTAAAAATGTTTTACATTTATATTTCTCAACGCTTTTTAAAGTCATGTATTACAATATTAATTGCTTTTTAACAGCTTTTTACGAAAATAGAATATTAATTGGGTGCGTGTCGTGTCTCGGAGCAACTAAGATGCGTTTCGACCCCGCTACAGGTCTGTTTAGGTAGTTTTAGACTCCGTAACTATGCAGATGATTAGACAAATCACAGATAAGTTACATTGTCTACAAGCTATTTAAGCGTTACAAGTAGAACAAATAGAAACAGATCAACGTAGATCTTTCTTTCAGACACAAATCAATCTGCTAGTATCAACTCTTGCTTTTCAGCAATCGATAAAAGTCGTAATATTTATTGTATATTTTGTGCTTTGACTGAAATAATTAAAGAAATGCAGATTTTTATTTCGCTAACGCGTTTTATGTTTATTTATTTGAAAATCTGAAATACTCGTCAGGGCTCTGCATTAGGGTGGATGTGGGTGTGTTGAACAATAGAAGTAAACCCACACCCACAAAAAACGATCTTTGATTATATAGAAATCCGGATAGTGGTAGTTAGTTATTTTTTATGAACTTCGAATTCATTTATCGACTAAGAAGTTTTTGAACATGTTGCAATACTCTCCAATCTCATCGACTGTTTACATCTTTCATGATCTCAATAATATAGAATTCGGTTAAGTTTGGTTTTGCATTAGTCCTATTTGTTGACACTGATAAATCAGTGTTTAGCAATTTAGTTCAATGATAAAGATTTCGTATGAACTGTTTGAACTCTTTCTTGTACATATCTGATGGTAGAACAAATACTGCAAATGTCATCATCGATGGAATGAATGAAATGAAATGTCCCATCAAATAAAACCATGAGTCATTAACTGATTTCATACATCCGGATAAAAATGAAATAATTAGACGAGGTAAGGCTAATATAATGAGAAGAAATGGAGAGATTAATAAATGTTTATTCACGGCGATTTGTTTATAAAGATTTTGTTTGAACGAAATTTTCTCCTGTGACTTTGCACGTATATAAGCTGTATTATAAATAATAACTAATGCCGATATACAATTCATTGCAAATGGAATACAGAAATGAAAAATATTTATCGCTACATCAAATATTCCTACCGATGGAGAATAATTAGTGACACACCATGTACGTTGCTCTTCCTCATCATCAATAAGACGACGATACATTGGATCATAAATAAGTGTAGAAATATTACCAATAAAAACAAATGAAATAATCCATTTAGCTACTTTAACACTCTTGGCTTTATTGAAATTAACTCCTTGTGTAACATTTACAGCACGTTCAATGCCTACAGAAGCAGTGAGCCATTCACCAGCATTGAGAAAAAGTCGAAGACTAAATTCAAAAAATGTGCATTGTGTGTTTAAAAACGAACGATGATCAATCCAACCGATTTTTGATGCTAAGAGAAACCAGAACTTGATTTTGAATATCAACATAGTTGCAAAGGATGCGATGGATGTAGCCAAAAGATAGAGACCACAACCAACATTTTGTGTTTGCTTTCTTCGAAAAGTTTGAAAGCAGAGAAAAGCATTAACGATACCAAAAACATACATAATTGTTGTTAAGACAATAGCAAGTTTAAGAATCTTCGGCTGATAATAAAGAGAAGTTTTTGTTTTTATTTGATAACCTAATATGATATCTAATGAAAGTGTTGATCCTTCAGTAGAAAATTGGCATCGTGATCCGAAATAACATTGACGACAAACACAAAATGAGGATGTTGGACAATTACGATTATCAACAAAACAGAAACCGCCATTTTTACAGAAATTGTATCCTGTGCAGGTGTACGTCATGTTATGGTCAAATGGGAAACAATTCGATTGATAATCAAGGTTACATAGGCAGATATAATAATTATCATGGAAACACATTAAATTAAAGGATTGTTCACATGGTACATGATACCGTTTGATCCGTTTTAATATATGTTGAGTAGCAAAAGTTTCATTGAATATTTCATTAATTGATGGGCATCGATTCGAAGGAACTATTTGTGTAGAAATATGTTCTGAAACAGTCCCATGTTCTTGAAGAATAATTAGATAGTAGTTAGTTGAAATTTGCGTTAAAGCCAGATTAAAAGAAAATGAAGTGTTTAGAACGAGTGAATCTTGATCAAATGCTAGTTTCTTCATGATACTCATACGATTTAATTCAAGATTAATGCTTCCAGGTGGAAAAGTAATCAAATGAAGGAGTATCGATGGTGGAACCGCTATTTTTGGATGGAACGATACATCGATGCGAGTTTGCCTTAGCAGGTTCTCACAATGTGCTCCCACATATCCTGGTGGACAAATACATATTGCATTTTTTTGACTGACTGTACCTAAACTAGGATCCCATGGTAAACATTGTCCATTGTTCAAACATGAGTTAGAATCACACAAAGTATGACGAAGATAACAACGAGCACCAAATCGACCCAATCGACATAAACAAATGGAATTGCTAATACAAATTGAACTTGGTGCACAATCGCAAGTCTGTTTAACACTACACTGCATACCTGACCAACCGGCGTGACAACGACAAAGTGTTGAACTTGGATCGTTAATATAGTTGAAACATTGACCGTGAATACATGGAGATCGACATGTTTGAATAGGTTGCACATTATCAAATGGAACTTTCAATACTGCAGCTAGATGATACACAGGAAGAAAAGGAAATTTAATTGGAAATATCCAACTAGCTCGATAATTTAATGTCATTTGATTGTATGCATCGATTTGTACGGAATAGTTTTTCGATACATTTTTTGGTCGACTTGAATATAATAAATATAGATTAAATTTATCGTGACAATATCTCGACGGTAAATATTCAATAGTATCATGAGATTCAATATTTCCTTCGTTATCGATTAGCGTAATTAGAAATACAAATACACTACGCCAGTCTGATGTTATTCGAATTCGAATCGTTAAACTCACACGCTCATTTTGATATTCGCAAATAGCTCCGTAATAGCTCGGTGGACATAAACAATATGATTTTGACTCATTTCCTTCCAATCGAACACGTATAGGAATTCCTCGAATGCATGACCATGCGTAATCATTAGGCACATAGTTTGTTAACCTTTCTTTGATTATACGGGGTTCTGCTCGATCTGCTGATAGATTTGGTGTATCGTGTGACATTACCAGTTTTGGATAAATAACTATATTAGATAATTTGAAAGTTATATATTTGGGACGGTTGAGCGTTCTAGTAAATTGACAAAAATATTGCTGAACATGATTAACATAGCCTCCAGAAAAATCACAAAACGTGGACACGAATGGAGCTTGTCGTCTACAAAAAACATTTTCGTCATCATGGAATGGGCAGTCTGGATAGTTATTACAAATTTTATTCGAAGAAATAGTTTTTGAATCATTCCAACACTGAAAATTATATTTAAAATCGTCGTTATCGAAAATAGTGACATACAGCACTCGTTCATCTGTTGCGCCAAGACAGTCAGAAATATTATCGCCAACTCGTGTAATCGGTAAACATGAAATTTTTGATGTGTCATTTGGAAATACACAGGAATGTTCAAGTGAAGGACAAGTCGAGGGAGGACAATTCACTTCATCAGCTCCATTTGTACATGACCAGAATTGATCGCATCTTGTATACGTATTATTACATGGCCATACTTGACAATCTGTCTCATCTGTTTCGTAATGATCATCGATTAATATTGAACGAAAATCTTGTTTTCCATCACATATATTTTGAAACAGAATATTGATGTTAATTTCAGATAGCGTTGATTCAAATTCATCCCTTTCATCCTCCCCATATTTGCAATCTCTCTTTTGATCCTGATAAACCAACAGCGCAAAACATTTGTCATGATCTTCATCGTAACATTTGAAACGATGGTTTCTATCACTCAACGAGCAACTTTGATTGAACGTTTCATCATCACAAAAAGGACAATCAACAAAACCATCGAGAAGGCGAGATTTTGAAATGCATTTTTTTGATTTGTGACATTGATATACTGTTGAATAATTACAATAATTGTTTTCATCAACAATCACTAAACATGCACGAAATTTTTCTCTAACAGCATTAACAATCTGTTCCAAATTTTCATAAGGCCTACTGTTGTCCAGCCCTAAATCATTAAAATAGCGGCACGACATATTACCAATGGATATGTTGGTAGGAAGATACTCGCTGCAGAGCTTTTTATCGTAGCAAATATACTCAGGAAGTGGAAATTGATCAGTTTCAATTGACTGGCTTTTATACATTAATCGGACATGCCCATAGAGCTCAGGAGCATAGCGAAATGCATGGCTTGCTTGACATCTTTCTTTTACACACGTTAAATTTGGACAAAACGTTTTACACCATTTACCATCGACAAAACCCATCGTTATCATGGAGCAAGCAGTTACGTTTGAGCAAAAGTCAGGCGGCAAAAGACTACTACGACCATTGTCACATCTAATTATTCCATTCGTACATTGACCATCACCGCATGAAAATTGTTCAATACCTGGTCGGCACATGTGTTCTTCACATTGAAAGGTAGAGGCCTCACGACATTCTTGTTGATCGCTAGGAATAAAACTTTCATCTGTTTTATCCAAGCATTCGGATTGTATAGAACTATCCTGAAGAAATTCGACGGGTATACATTGGCCATTATGACATCGATACTCATCCTCAGCGCACTGGTTAATTTCTAATTTCCAACAGTGTTTCTCATCTGAACCATCCAAACAGTCACGTTTTCTGTCACAAATGTCACGCCAATCCAAACAAGAAATTAGTGTGTCACATTTTAAGTGCTGATAACATGCCACTTTGGTATCTTCATACATGATTTTTTTACTGAGAAAAATCAATCGAACTAATTCCTTGAAGGTTTTATCTATATTATAATCAAATGTAAAACGACAGAAAGGTCCAAACCATGGCGATGTACAATTGTAAAATAAGAGTTTACCATCTACTAATGGGTTTGAATTCTTGTCTAGAAAGTTTTGATACTGTTCAGCAAAATCCAAAGAAGTAGACCATGAAAGTAATGTGGAACTACTTATATTTTTTGATTCTAATTCGAGAAAAGTAAACATAGGATGATATATATTGGTTAAATCTAATGGGTCATAATCTTCAGATATTCGAAGGCAATAAGAAATTTTCACATGCACCGTTGCAATGATATGCGTGTGTGATCCTTGTTTATTATATTCAACGTATGAAAGACAAAATCGATCCTGATGATTACCTGTATTATACATATTAAACTGATAAAGAGGCGAGGCTTGCGTCTGCCATATTAACAACATGCTCAATAGTAGCATAATCGAGCAAAATATTGAATAGAATTAAAAAAGTTTCTTCTAACTTTCTTCCCTTGTTGTAACTTGGCAAGTATTACAACTAATAAGAACATATTTCTACATCAAATGTCAATAAGATTCGATGGATCACGTATTGTAACCAATATCCGGAAATGCTCATGCAAAAAATGGCAAGAAGGATCTCAACAGATATCAAATAACTAAGCACACTGAGATAAAACATTCCACTACCTATATCACGTCCACCATAAGCATACGTCAGTAGATTCCATACCATGATTGAAGCCGCTACTTGGTATTTAAAAGCGTTGATTATATATGAGTAACAGGTATTCTCTGTGCTAAGTGTGCGTGTGGATCTGAGTCTGGTTATCGGTGTGGGTGTAGTGACGGCAGAACAGATCACCCACATTTGAAAAATTTCATGGTCGCAAATTTTCTCTGTTTCTTAAATCAATCGAAAAAAGCATCTGTTTGAGTTTTGATCTAGTCAAATAAAACAAACACATTATATTGTACATATCTACACTATTCGTCAAAAGTAAAATAATCAATTAATTATGATATTTTTCATATTTAAAAAATAAAGCAAAACAATATTTCGTGATATTTCTATAGAAAATTAGTGTTGTGGAAATTTACCAAGAAAAAAATTTAAAAGATCTCTCTAGACCATACGTAGACGTTCGCTAATATCAAGAAAAGATATTTGTAGTTTTATTATGTAATATTATTCGTTTGAAGATAAGTTTTGTTTGAATTGAATGAATAAAAGTGAAAGAAAAAAATTCAAAAGAAAGTTTAATAAGTAATGAAATGCTACTTCTAATTTAGCATGTATTCGTGAAAATGCTCCGTTTATCAATGCTACCATCCCAGTATGATCCAACATATAAATTACCTTTGCTATCTAAACGTATTCTAAGAGCAGCCCAATAAAATACGGACGCAATAATTGTTAAAGTTGATGTACTAGGTGCCCAACATGTAATATTATTAACACCAGCTACATAAACATTGCCTGAATTGTCAAGAGTTAAACCACCCATGATATAATTATAATATATCGAAGAATAGGATGTACTGATCGAAGAGGAGAATAACACTCTAGCATATTGATTTCATGGTGAAAAAGCCACTACACGACTAAAATACAAATATTTGAAAGATCTCAAATAAATAGCATTGATTGTCAAAAAGAAAAGGGTGTGGGTTTGTGTGTGGGTGTTTGTAGTCTCCATATACTTAAACCCACACCCACACCCACACACCCTAATCCTGTGGAGTGATCAAGCTTTTTCGATATCAAAGGCTAGTAAAATTACTGAACTACGCATCGACGATGAATGCTCATTAGAATATGTTCAGTTTTTTGCTAGTCTTTGTCCTCGTGGACATGGTCTTGCAATTGTTACCGCCAGAAGACAACACGAATCAATTGTATGATTCTTACTTTCAGGCCAACTTCAACATCTTTTCTTCGTATGTTTGGGATATTTATCCACCGCAGAGGGCGAACAAATCGAAAGAATGATCGATCGTGACTCACGAATTTTTCATTATACTATAAAAAATCATCATACGGGATGGTATTTGTGGTGGTAGATTTCGTTGTTTTTATTGTGCTGTTATGTTATTTGATGTGGAAAATTTTATAAATAAACTGGTAGAAATTATGCTATTTCTAAATCAACAAAATAACGGAATTTCTTTAAAAATATTTATATTGATAACCGACAGTTGAGTCAAAAACGCTATTGAATTTTTGCTGGTTAGCATATGTTTGATGGCAAGACAAAATAATAATATCAATCGAGTATGACTTTGCGTAACAAGAAATCTCCGATATCGGCAAAAATAAAATTATATTGGTGCATCATAGATGATGTTACTAATGAGCTATTTTGACTAGTAGAATCAATACTGAATATAGTATGTTTTCAATTGATATTCATCTATGCGTGTTTCTATGTTGGGGATGAATGACTAGAATAAAATAATTCTTACGTCCCTTTATCTCTGTTTTTGTATTATGCAAGTAAGACATAGATATTCATTAAGAAGATAGCGGCATTGATAAAAAAAACATTAAACATTATTTTTTGAAATTCTTGAACATCTGTTATTTATTGTTGATGAAATCAGGTGGCCAAAATTTTGGCAACAGAACTTTTCGCACCGGTGAAAGTCCCCTATAACTTTGACAATATACAATCGGACTTCTGCTTTTGACTAATGCACAGTTGATGAAATTTTGGAACCTCATGAAAAGACAACTTAAAATATGAATCAAATACTTCTACTTGCTGTACTTGTACTCGTTCTACCTCTGCTAGATGTGCAGTATATATGCTACTAATATCAGACTTTTCTACTAAAATAAATATTAGACAAGAATACTACTTGAAGGAGATCACAACGTATTAGACACCTTTTATATTCTCTCATCAAACTGTAAGAATATGGTGTGGGCGTAGGGGCAGATATGGCTGAACATTCCTTAATGTCACCCCCCCCCCCACACACACGCTCTTTATGCACTATCTTGATGGAATAATATCACCGAAGACAATAGAAGTAAATGCTGCTTACGTACTCTAAGTAATCAATCGAATACAAAGATTTATTATATCCTAAAGCTCATCTAAAGAGTCAATTGTAAAGTCATCGCACATTATCTTCATTTGAAATGATATTGATTCTAATCAAAAAATTTAATAGTTCCCGTAGAGACATCAATTTTCTTGTAGGTGCACTTTTTTTCAGAATACAATAACAGCCCAGGAGGATCATCCTGCCGTCTGAAAGACCATCGGAAACGGCTATAAAATGCCATTAATTTTCAACCTATTTCGCCGTAATCCGTCAGCTCGTTTTACGGGCCGTTTTGTTTTGCTAGGAAACGGCCATCGCTTTTAACACTATTCTCTTCGTTTTCCGAGCTGACGGAAAACGGCGCCGTTTTTTTAACGTTTTACATCGTTTTTATGCCGTTTCAGGCCGTTTACGGGCGGTTTTCTTTCACCTGGGGAGATTTCATTTTAAATTGAACTATTATAATTATGAAGTCACTAGACCATAAGTTATCCATATGCCTATATTTTCTTTTTTATCTTTATTTTTTGCCACAGCATATTGCCATCTCGATTTCTTTAGATTCAGAAGCGTGAAACCATGTATTATTTGTTGGTGCATCTCTACCGATCCGCTTACTTCTATACTGAGAGTAAATTTTCATGTTTAAATAATATAGTTTTAACGTGTTTGCCATGAGATTATCAAATAAGAACAAAACAAATTAACGCCTGAAGTTCGACGAAGGTACAGTTTAAAGATCGTAACTTATGTACACTGCTCATAATAAAAATTAAATTAGTTTGAAAACAGCATTGCTGTTGAATCCATTCTCACTCTTCATGACATAAATAATTATTCATATTGGGGGTGGTGAAACAAGTTTAGTGGGTCATTGTATTTTTTTCGTGCTTTTTTTCTTCTCTGATGATTATTTTCTTGGAGATTAAAAAAAATTGTGGAGAAAGTCTATGGGGTAATATCGAATTTCTAATTATTGAAGGATCAACTTATATCTTTTAATTTTCGTGAACCCGAATAGTATAAGCTACTCAGTAAATATAGATATGGGTGATGTCGCTATTCTGTTTCTTTTTAATGCAAACGATGTTTTCAAAAGTAATCTTGAGGGTGTGGGCGTGAGTTCAGTGAAGAACTACGCACGCCCACACCCACACCCACACCCTTCACTGAAAAAAAAGGTATCATACGAAACTAAAAAAGGGTTTCGAGATTTGAAACGAATTTTGAGCCATTTTTTAGTTTCGTATAAGACTATTCTTTTTTTTAGCTTAGACAGGTTTCGTAGTCGATACTTTGTATGGCGCGTCGTATGAGATCGGTCAAACGTAAATATACTGTCAATTCGTTTTCTACAGAGCTCTCCCAGCGTATATCAACACTTGAGAGACTCATCTGTCCTATTGAATGCGTATCTGACTTTGTATTTCTCCATTAACCATTACTTCTATATCTAACCCCTTATTTTTATCCTTAACACTTAATTCTAGCCTTAACCCCTCAATTCTAAATCTAATTCCTTATTTCTATCCTTAGCCCTTAATTCTATACCTTACTACTTAATTCTGTCTAGTTTCTAAAAAAACGTTGTTTCCCGATAAACTCTTAGTAGGTTTCCGAGCTCAACAAAACGAAAATCCAACATGGAATCTGAAATAAATTGACAGTTAATAGAGATTTCGCTATCATGTCATGCATCATAAGACCACGAGCACGGCATATATCGCTATCTCTCGAATATTCACATGTCACGTAACCATTCGGCGAGATCCATTTGAACAATCTAAAACAAAAGAAGAATTGATTTGAATTTCTGATTCTCAAATATAATTCACCAATTAGATGAAATCCATTTGAAGAATTTAAAATAGAAAAGGAAATTTTAATGTTAGGTTTTCATTTTTGAATGTTACTTACCATTCGCAGGAAAACCACTTAAAAAATCTAAAACAAAAGGAAAAATAGTCGTAAGTTGTTAATTCTCGAATATAACTTACCAATTGGATGCAATTCATTTGAAGGAGCTTAAAGAGAAAAATAAATTTTGGCATGATGTCTCTATTCTTCAATGTATCTTACCCTTTGAATGAAATCCATTTGTAGAATCCAAAAGAGAAGTACAATTAATTTTCGTTTCTATCAATTCATCCCTTGATTTCTAGGACAAAATTAGTCATATCGAGAACCTATGGATTTTTGAGCCTTTAGAAACAAAGAATTTTCTCTCGGAAACTCTTCAAGTGTTGAGAAATATTTTCGAAAACCTCTATAGGTTTACAAAACGGTTTCTGAGAGAGTTCCAGTTTTCTATCAAACGATTATTTTTAAAAAGTAATCTCTTATTTCCATCCTTACCTCTTATTCATTTAGGTAAGCCGTCATTTCTATCCTTAATCTCTGACCTCGACATCGAACTCCTTGTTTCTATATCCACTCTTATAAAAGTGTGTATAAATTCTTATAACTATGTCTAAGCTATTATATAATTATGTAACACTTTTTTCTACGACAATACTTTCAAAACTGTAATCAAATCCTCATAAAAATGTCGAGTTCGTTATAACTATATCTATTCCATTGCGTCTGTCTTTAATGACTTATAGCTTTGTCTAAGCCCTTATTTCTAAATGTTACTGTGAAAACTATTGATCGCCACATATATCTATATCAAAGCTCTTATAACTCTGTCTAAATTCTGAACTGTATCTACAGTGGGCACGTGGACTTAGAATGAATATAAAAAAAGTTGTTAAAAGTTTTGTATTTGACTATGAAGAGATAAGCTAATGCTCGTGTATTTGTGTCAAAACAGTAACTCAATACTTCAGCATTTGTGTTAGTTTAGCATTAGTATAATACAAACATTTATCTTTTCAATATTAGCTATTGGTAGATATTTGTATTCAATTGAAGTCTGAAGACAGAACACGATTGTTTGGTTAAGGCGACATCGATCATCAAATCTCTTATACGAATTATCTGAACACTTTATACTTATGTAAGTCTTAAAACTTATATTTATTTGAAACACATGTATACATCATTAACTTCATATATATTCTTAAACTCTCAGTATCTATTCAGATTCGCTTCAATTTATGTGCATCTCTTATATATGTGTCTATCCTCCGATTTCTTTTTGTGTGCTTGTGTATCTTGCGATTGTCCAAGTTAAATCCGAACTGAGATGTATCATTTTGTTCTAAACGAGTAAGATCTCCAGCTAGATAAAATGACAAACAACTAATCATTTTATTATATTAAAGAGTCTGTGGTTTGGATAATCAACGATTCAAAATATTAGGAGCCGTGAAAACTGGAATAAACTGAGTGTAGTAATTCATGAAATGGGAACATAAAATAATGTTGGAGGCATAGACAGTATTTTTCACAAGCTAAATGTTAAAGTTCATTGTCATATTAGTGAAGGCCTTTTGTATTTTTTCTAGAAAGA